CGGTATGCTATTTGAATGTCATGAGTTTTTCCATACTCGCCCATTACCATGGAGTTTTGGTATTCATGCAAAGTGAAAGATATATAATATATACATATAATATATATATATATAGTATTTAAATTAAAGGGATTTTTCGTTCGAAATCAGAGGTATAATTAAAGGAGCGATATGTGCATGCACCATTACAACGTCCATAACCACTCAATGTAGACATGCCATCACTTGTGGGGTGTCCGAATCTGATTTGAAATCAAGTTTCATGGGTCCCCACTTGTGGGAGAAACGCAATTTGTTTTGCAACACTCCGACCAAGCCGTCATCTATCCATCTTCCATTCATTATATATCCTACTTAATTAATTGACTTCAAATTAGATTTTTTAATGTAATCATTAGTATTCAGACAAACAAATCATTATACTACAACGATTAGGGAGAGAGAGAAAGCATTGCATTTTCATATATATATATATATATATATGGTCTCATGCATTATTACATGGATCAATATCTGATAATTAACGTGTAACGTGTCTCTAAACTCAACATTTATCACCAAACTTTTTAGGTCAATTTGTACACATGGGTGGATTTGAAAATGAAACACGTTTTAGGATAAGAGATTTCGCTTTTTCATCATTATCACCTATATTACATTCGTAGATGATGCTGAAATTGATAAACTGTAATCATGAAGGCATCAAAGGGGAGAGGGAGAGGGAGAGAGAGAGAGAGAGAGAGAGAGAGAGAGAGAGAGAGAAGTGCAATAATGCATCGCTCATGTATTTCGTGGTGAGAGTAAATGATGTTTCAGAACGTCGTAGTGATTAGAGTTTGTGGGGGACCCATCTCATTCACCAATTTCTACAATTTTTTGTCCTACTTGAGATCATTTTAGTTTTCCAAATAAAAAAGAGAGAGAGAAATAAAAGTCGTCCCATGCAAAAACCTTAGATTCTGCAGTTAGTACCATGTATTTCCGTTAATGTTACACCGTATATACGTGTATAAAACTATATAATACGCCGACAATATCACGGCCTAGTGACGACCGATAAGAGGAGAGACGTGTAGGGCTTCGACTCGTAGGCTGCAGGTAGAAATCCAGTGAAATTAAATTTTTGTCATGCAAACGTAATAAAAGCGCATAGAAGCAGACAAAGAAACATAATTTTCTTTGTCGTAAAATTATGAAATTCGGAAAGGGAAAGAAAAGACGTGCATAGTTGGCTCCGAAATCCATGCTTTATCTACGTCAGAGTTGCTGCCGTTTGTCTAAAACCAGCTGACATCTACATACGTACATAAATGTATACGTTTGTGTATATATATATATATGTTTATACAATTTACTGTTAGGGTTTTATTTTTAATTCTAACGCGAGCCCTAGATGCTTCTGCGCTAAAACAATCAATGCTTTTAGAAATATATATAAGCTAGGGTTTAGGGCTTGATCTTTTTGAAGTTCCAAATTTAGGGTTTTGTTTTCCCCCTTTCTCTATCTTTTTTTTTTGTTAACGCCCCTTTCTCTATCTTAGGATACAGTATATAGTAGGTGAAGCATGTCGGATTTTGTTTTTATTTTGGTCCCCATGCACCAGCATTGTCAAGAACTACGTGAATCGCTACAATCAAACATTTGAAAATATATATGTGCATAAAGAAGTATCAGAGAAGACGCTAACATATGTATACGCATACTTAACGCATTATCGGGATTTTACATATGTGTGTTGGTTCTGCCCGAAAACAGCTTCTTTTTTTTAACCTATTTCTAAAGAATTAAAAAAAATGAAAAAATTCAAAATGAAAACTGTTATGGTTTTAAGGGTTTTTAAAGAAAAAACAAAAATTTTGGGTAAATTGCAAAAGAAATTAAAAACATATATATTGATTTTCCTTTTGAGTTCTCACAAGACAATGTAAGTATTTGTTCACAAAGAATGCATGCATATATTTGCATGAAATTTTAGATTTTACTGCAAAACTTGGAGATGACCAAAATGAAGCACAACTATAAAGAATATATATATATATATTGAAGTGACTGAATAATCAATACGTATATACCATTATATACTTCATACGTAAAACTCATCACGTAATACGCATGGCGTCACCAAATTAATGGGCTAACTCTCTCATTGGTTTCGCTGATTTCAATCTCACTTCGTTATTGAAAAGGAAAAAGAAAATTATGCAGTCACATCCTTCACCCCCCTAATCGTGTATAATATATATATGTATATACCATACATATGTACGGAGTAAATACGTATAATACAATATATATACAAAAATGCGTAGCAAAGTCAATGCATATCATCATGAGGACATTATATGCATACAGATTATGTGTATATATCGGTGTATATATATGTGTGTGCGCGTAAATGAAGAGAGCTCGAATCGAGGGCACGGAGAAGGTGTGTGTGATAATTGAAAACCGCCCACCATCTTTATTACAGTGGTTAGAGAACTGATCAACTTGCAGATTTTTTTTTATGTACTGTTCGCTCTGTTTTCAATTTTCATTATTCTCTTCTCAATTATGTCTCTTATTATATTCACAACATTTTTAATATAATATATATATATATATATAAATATAATATTTTATATTATAAATTAAAAGGGAAATGTATATTCCTTCGCTTTGTCGTCTTTTTTTTTTTTTTTGTTTGGACTTGCAATGCTCCATAGTTATAACAAAGGCTCGATCTCGATGCCGATTTTTCGTTTTCTTCATTTTTGTTATAACAAAGGCTCGATCTCGATGCCCACACACACGGTTTCAATTCGGACAGGGAGAATATAATTAACGTTCTGTTATTTCATAAATTTTCTCATATACACTTTCCAATCAATTTAATGAAGTATTTATTTTAATTTTATTCCCTTTTTTTGTTAGGAACAACAACAGAGAAAATATGATTCGATTTCGGGGGGGTGGGGGGGGGGGGAAAATACAACAATATTCTAATTACATTACTGGCCTTTTTTTTACCTGGACGCGACTTTGGTGGACACATCAAACATTTTACTTGATCAAAATAAATCAACAATCATATATAGACGTTATTCCATTCAAAATAAATGTCCGGATTCCGACATTTTTTTATATATTAGAACACCTATGTTTGTAATGTATATATAGCCTAAAAATGTAGTTTAAAAAAATGTTGCGTCATATGTAGTCTAGTTTCTTTTTGTCCGAATGTCTCTTTTTACCAAATGTGGGCAGCACTTTTCATTCCCTAATTTAAATTGTTTTTTCAACTTCTTTTTCCGAAAATTTTTTCTTTTTAAAAAAAATATGTTTTAGGGTTTAAAAATTCAAGGAAGAAAAAAAAAATGGGAGTGAAGGGAGAGAGCCGTTAAATTGCCAAAAAGACATGGTCAGGTAAACATATCTGACACTCCCAACATATTTACTCCAACCCCAACGACTACCTGGGTTGTCTTGGCTCCATCCTCATAAATTTCCATTTTTTTTAAAAAAATAATTTCTTTAATTTTTTTTATCTTATTTTATGAATTTCTACATTTTTGTAATCAATACAATCCCTAGTAAATAATACATAGATCCGATTAATTTTTTTTAGCTAAAATTTGGAAAAAGAAAAGAGAAAAAAAATGGATGAAAGGTTGGTCTCAAGGAGTAAATTGATTTTGAAGAGACAAAAATGAGAAATGAATAGTAAGATATCATGTATTTATTGCCGAGGATCTCCCAACTTGTCCCTTTTTTTTCAATTTAAATTGAACTCTCTTGTCAGTTTCCTGTTTTAAATTCCTTCGAAATTTTTGTTTGTTTACTTGTGGAGTATATTTTAGAGCTTGGTTTCGTTTTGTTTTGCCGTTTTTTGTTTTTTAAAATTATATTTATTCCTTTTTTTTTATTTTAGACTTCGTTCTGTTAGAATAATCTTGTATTATTTCGTTTTTATTATTTTTATTTTAGTTTGATTATTTTATTCGGTCAATGTTGGACCTATTATTGTGTTTGAGACTTAGAAATGGGTGAGATATTGTGTCATGATTTTAGGAATTAGTTAATTGTTTTTTTTTTGTATAAAAAGGCTATTAAGCTTTCAGAAGAATAACGTAACAAAGATGAATATCTCTTATTAAACAATGTGTCTTTTTTCCTCTTTCAAGTTCTCATTCCAAAAATTTCCGATTGTGTTATTGTGTTTGGTGTTTATATTATTATCCCTATGGTTTCGGTTTAAAAATTTGTAACACATTCCCTCTCAATTTTTAATAAAATACTTTTTTTCCTAGATAGATTTTAAAGTTTGATTTATCTATTAACTTTTTTATATATATATATAATATGATTGCCTTTGTGTATTTAGTTTTTGCCCTAAATTCCAAACCCCTAAATTATAAGAATCTTTTAGTAAAAAGAATTATTATAATTTTCTCATAATCAATCGTACCGGTCACAATATGGACCACGTAATTTCAAAGTAACATTATGTGTGTGTATATATGTATGTGCGTTTTATTTTACGTAAACACAGTTCATTGATGAAGTTGTCCGAAAACATTATATCAGTTCTATTCTTCTGTTTAATCCACCTTTTTTCTAATGTTTTTGTGTGTGTGCGTGTATGTATATATTAGTAAGGATGGGGGAAAATTCACATTCCATAGATATACCTTTTAACAAAAAAAAAAGAAAATTCAAATTCCAAACAAGAAAAAATGACTTAAAGCTATCGTCATCGACTATGATATTCGAATTTTAAGAAAAGAAATCCTTAAAATTCTCTACCGTACTTGCAATTTTACTTTCTTTTCCAAGGGAATTTTTGTATCTTTTCCCATTGCACACCCTCTCTCTCTCTCTCTCTCTCTCTCTCTCTCTCTCTCTCCACACACACGCATCTATATATACGACACATAAAACCTAGATTCTCCCCCAGCTTCATCCAACGGCTAATATCGCATCATAAATTGCCCTACCTTAACTAAATACGAGTAAAATATGTGAAATGAAATTGGAAAATATAAAATATTGCAAATACGATCGCGATCGTTTAGTCCCTTTCGTCTGCGAGACCGTCATATTTACTCCTTTTGGCATTCCATATTTTCTTCGCTTCCCCCAACTCTCTCTCTCTCTCTGTCTCGATCTGCTTTCTATCCGCCAAAAGACACCAAAATAATTAAGGGAGAAAAAAGATATATTACTCAAACTCGAAAAGATGCACGAAACCCTACCCGATTTTCTCGAAGAATGCGAATTCGCCGACACTTCATTGGCCGGAGACGACCTCTTCGCCATCTTAGAGAGCCTAGAAGGCGCCGGAGAATTCCCTCCGGCCACCGCCTCCACGAAACCTCTCAATGGAACCACGTCTTCAACCGGAGATCATCAAGACGAGATCTCGCCGCCTGTGAGGAAGAGACAGAAACTAGAAGAAGCCGATGGAGAAGAAGAAGAAGAAGAATATGATGATGGAGAAGAAGAAGACAAGAAGCAAGATGGGCAGACAAAAATGTCTCACATTACAGTGGAACGTAACAGGAGGAAGCAGATGAACGAGCACTTGTCAGTTTTACGCTCTCTTATGCCTTGCTTCTACGTCAAACGGGTATTTCACTCTCTTTCCTTTCACTTTCTTGCAGATATCTTGGCTTATATATTGTCCCTTTGCCCTAACTAATACACCAATTTTCTCGGGAAAATGACAATATATACACTGACCCTTTTTTTTGCTCAAGTGCAATGATTTATATATGTTGCACCGAACGATCTAATCGATCCCACATATATATATATATATCGAAAAGGGGGATCAAGCATCGATTATCGGAGGAGTAGTGGAGTACATAAGCGAGCTTCAACAAGTTCTTCAATCGTTGGAAGCGAAGAAACAGAGAAAAGCTTACGCAGAAGTTCTCAGCCCGAGGCTAATCCCGAGCCCTAGACCGTCGCCAACAGTCCTCAGCCCTCGAAAACCGCCGCTCAGCCCTCGCCTCCTCCACCACCACCACCACCTGATCCCACCCATTAGCCCGCGAACCCCTCAGCCACTGAGCCCTTACCGCTCGCTCGCACCACCGCCACTACGTCCACCGCACCACCCTTACCATGGCGGCGGCCTGGTGGTGGACCCTCCCTACTCGCCCTCCTCCTCATCTTCCCCGAGCCGTTCGGTGAACAGTGGTGGCACCATTCATGGTCATGGTCATGCTCATCATGAGAGTGGTGTGATCAACGAGCTTGTGGCGAATTCCAAATCGGCGGTGGCTGAGGTCGAGGTGAAGTTCTCTGGTGCGAACGTTTTGCTCAAAACGGTGTCGCATAGGATCCCGGGACAGGCCGTGAAGATCATCTCGGCTCTTGAGGATTTAGCGCTTGAGATCCTTCAGGTCAATATTAACACCGTGGATGAAACCATGCTTAACTCATTCACCATCAAGGTATGAACACAAATTCGTTCATTACTCTTGTCTTTTTAATACTTAGTGCTCGCTTACATTTGATTTATTTATTTATTTATTAATAGCAGTATATATATATATATATGTAGTATAATCTTTTAGAAAGTATGTTTTCTCTTTTTAAAATTTTTTAGAAACCGAATAATTAATGTAACACTAATTAACTCTATCCAAATTAGTTTTCTTGTCCTGTTACATAATATCAAAATAGACAAGCAATTCAGAATATATTTATTATATACGTGTATATATATAATGCATTCCCTATTAGGAAAAGAGAGGGTTTTATTTATAATATTATATCATATATTCTGGTGGTAATCGGTTAAATGTTCCGTACAATTTGCACCATAAATTGCTTACATTAGTCAATTAGTAGGACAAAAATTGTAGTGAAATATGGAATTTGGATTTTTCTTAAGATCGTTAAGTATATTTGTCCCCACATTCTTTTTTGCATAATAATTGAAGTAGCTAATGTATAAGATTTATGTAAATTTGATATTATTAGAGATATACATGATTATAAGATCTGTATCTATTAGATAAGATCAAGATATAATCTCTAACATATATATATATATATATTAATATTTTCTATATAAACCAACATATATTGATTTTGATGATCTGAAAAAGGGCTTTTTTGGTATTATATATTATGGGATTGCTTTCATCAAAATAAAATAATTCAAAAATATTAACATTATTTTCCCTTTTTCGATTTGATAGATCGGAATTGAATGCCAACTAAGTGCGGAAGAACTGGCTCAGCAAATCCAGCAAACATTCTGCTAAGTCTACCACTTATAAAGGATATATATATATATATATATATCCTTTATATATGTGCCCTCAAGTCCAGAAACCTAACAGTGAGAGACCATTCACCTTGCATCTTATCCTTTGATTAATCTTCATCCCAAATGATGAAGTCATTTTAATAATTTTCATAGACCAGATTAGTTCATAAATATATAGGCATTTTCCATTTTTATCATCACGAGCATATATATATATATATAACAGCTTTAATTAGCTACATGTGACATGTTCCATTTAGATTATAGTGTGTACTGTGACAGTAACTCATCCATGTAATTTCCTTTTTTAATTAGCCATTTTCTGTTCTTTCTTTTCACTGCATATGTTTCAGAAAAGATAACTCTATGTGTTCTTCATTTCTGTCGGAAAGCACCATTTGAATTGAGTTTGAAAACCTGAGACTTCGAATATATATATATATATATATATATATATATATATATATATTAAAGGGAAGTTACTCCGAATAATACATTTTTCTTCAATTTGTCGGAATCGGAATCGGTTTGTTTAACCTTTTCGGATACCATTTTAATCCAGTAACAATAAAATCATTTCTCTCGGGCACATCTGCCAAATCGATATGGTAAATTTGCATTATCAAATTTCAGTTTTCGTAGTTACTTTGAAATAGGGGTGTGAATCGGATCGGTCCGAATCCGCACTCCGTCCAAGGGTTTCAAATTTGGATTTGGACCGACCCGATTTTTTTTAATCTTTATAACCAAATCCGAAACCCGACTCTAAAAGTAATTTTAATTCCTTTGTAATTTTTTTTGAAAAAATATCAGTTTTTTCGGTCGGAAGTATACTCAAAATCCGAATTGAACCCGATTTTTTTGGAATGAAAAATTGACCCAAAAACCGATATTTTTTGGGATGGGTTCAACGGATTCAGACCCGACTTCGATCGCGCACTAAATTGAGACCCTAATTTAAAATATGAAAGAATAAAAAAAAATGGTTCATAAAAAAGACCAGTTTAAGTGGAAGCCCTCTTTGAATTGGGCCTAGTCCTTATATTGGGCCTTAGCTTTCTCTATTTTTATTGGGCTTATAATACTATAAGATCCGGTATCGTATTTATTTACTCGTAGGGTTGGTCCAAATGGTTCGGCTCATTAATCCAAAATCCTAACCCAAAAATAAATTTTAGAATCAGCCTATGTTTGTTGAATAGATCTGTTTGGTAATAAAATATAGAAATTGAATGGTTTAGTACCGGTTTGATTTGAAACCGAAAAAATTAAATGGTTTACGTTTGGTTTGGCCTGAAAAAAAAAACAAATGGTTTAATTATTTAAGAATAAAAAACAAAGGAGAACTAAATTCAACCCGAAGTAAAAGAGGGAGATTGAACCCATTAATTAAATGGAACCGAAATGCATTCGTACGTAAATTTAAAAACATAACCAAAAATACCAAATCCAACCGATCAATGCATTGTTGTTTGGTTTAGGTTCGGCATCAAGTACATATTTATTCCAATAACGTTTAATATAAAATCGAATAAAATAATACAAGTGGTAAAATTTTAATTATAAGCGGATTCGACTGACCTCTAGGTACAAAAAAAAAAAAGTAATACAAAAAAGACCGATGATTTTATTTTATGAATAAATGATATTATGGATAATGAGAAGTAGAAGCAGGGCCGCGGGAAGATTTCTTCTTCAAACGTTGTTGTCTTCGAATCTCAGCGAAGCCTTCGCTGTTTCTCATTATCCAATATCTCTCTACCTCCTCGGGCTGTCTTCCCGGAATCCTTCCTGCTATTAAATCCCACCTGCATATAACATACATATATATATATATATATAACATTTTTTGTCAAATTATTTCTTATTTCAATTTCATAAACCTTGTTGTTTTTCCAAAAAATTATATTTATTTTTCATGTTGGTTGGTGGGAGGCATCTATGAAGTAATTGATAAATTTATGCATATATATATGCTCGATTTAAATAATAGATTTATTCTCTTTTTTTCTCTTTTAATCACGGGTGCAAATAGGCAAAAATAACTACGGAAAGGAATTTTGGTGGAATAAATTCGAAAATAAATAAATTATTTCCTATTTCTTAAAAAATCAGAATTAAATAGCGAATGTCGTGCGTGTATTTACATAAGCATACTCGTACAACAATACCAAAAAAAAAAAATAATCTTTTGTGGTTAAACAAAAAAGAGCACGGGCGTGTATATATATTCTAATTTTTTTTATTAAAAATAAGGGAATATTGTATATTAATATACAAATTTATATAAAAAAATACATACAAAAAATAGAGGAATTTTAAAAATTCTAAAAAATATATATAAACCCTTCTCTTAACTTATAAATTAAAATATGAATTTTAAAAAAATTCTAAAAAAACATTATATCACGGTTATATTTGAGAGTCTTTTAAAAGATTATTATTTAATTTCATAGATTTTTTTTGTAATAATTTAAAAGTTCATGATTTATTTTCATTATTTAAAAAAAAATCAAGTTTTAATATAGGAATTAGAAAGGGTTTATTTATTTAGAAATTTTAAAGTCCATAAAATTATTTGAAATTGTTTAGAAATTAATGTATTAATATATGATTTTATCTAAAAATGAGTGATACATGAAACACACCTATCACCGACGAGTCTGTACATTCTAAAGATGAGATCTTCCTCTTGTTCGGTCATATTGATGAACTCCCATTCAAGACTGCTCACTTCTGCTTCATCCCAACAACAACAAAAAAAAAACAGAAATTATTTAATCAATGGGAAAATCGAATATTTGTCGGATATAGTTTTATGCAGAAAATGAATACGACGAATAAACCTTCGGATTCATGGAGGGTGGATTTGGGTTGCTTGAGACGTCGTCGTCTTTGTTGATTAGCGTTATCCATGTATATATATATATATATATATATATGTGCGTGCGTGCGTGTATATATATATATATATGTTTATGGAGTGTAACCGGAGACACCAGAGAGAGAGAGAGAGGAGAGAGAGAGAGGGAGACACCAGAGAGAGAGAGACGAAGGAGGGACTTTGGAAGTGTGAATAGGGCAAGTGGAAGAGAGTTTCGAGTTTATAGAGAGAGGATTAATTATTATTATTGTTATTATTATTATTATTTCATTATTTGATTTATGGCCAACGACCAATCTCCCTGCAAACTAATAGTTTTCCCGACTCTAAAGTCATCGGTTCGTATAAGCTTGTGAGGAGTATTGAAAATTTTGGAGAATTAGAATTATCTATTATATAATTATATTTCTGGTGTCATTAGTATTAATGTTCTCATAGGATTAGTTTGTTTGGTCGTCTATATATATTTATTCGGTTGAATGAACAATATAATATTTTATTCTGCATATCTTGACAATAATATTTAAATTGAAACATTTTTTTCTATTTATTTTATTTAAATTGTTAAGGGTCTTCCATTAGTTCCATTAGATAACCAAAATATCGACCGACATACTCTAATTAATTAATTAATTTGTTGGTTGCCATATTATTAAGTTTAATGTGATCTTTGTTGATATTACTTCTAGCAAATTATGCCATCGAAAGATCGGACGAATGGCAATTATGAAATTAATTGATATTATTAATTACATTAATTAATGTTTGTGGTGACTTATTTGTAAACATGGATACATACGCATATGGATAAAATTTGGGTGGCTTCAATTATCTATATACCCCCACCCATTAGCTACTTCTAATTGGGTGATTAGGACGGGGTCTGATCCAATCCAATTTCTCAGGGAGCATCTTAAATTCACATCTTAAATATTTTTACTTGGCTCATGAACTCTGTCACATCTTAAATTCAAAGTTTGGTATTATGTTTCGATACCGCAAGCAGAATATGGAAGCATCTAGAAAAGATGTTCAAACAGAAAAATATTTCGAAGATTTACGATATTTGTTGGAATGTGTGACTGAAAGAAGAGCCTCTTTCTCGGCCAGAGACTTTCGTTTTTTCTAAAACCGAATCTTAGGCTCGATTTCAGACAACTGGTACAATTATGACTATGTATACCATGAGATTTCTAATCACATTGGACAAGTACATATTGTTCGCGATAAGCTTAAATTGGGTTTTCTTCAACCGGTTCATGTTTCCTCTCAAGAACAAACCAATTTTTCTTCTTTCTCCATCGGTTTGGTATTGTTTTGGGTTAAGAAATTAGTTTTAGTGTTTTCCCTAATTTATTTTTCTCACTTTTTTCCCTTTATAAATTGAAGACCTCTTTTTCATTCTTGAAAATAGATTATAAAATTCTCATATATATATATTCTTCATTTTCTTCCCCTACATTTCAGTATATATACATTCAACTAACTTTCCTGATCCCCAATCTTAGGAACTGCGGAACAAAACATCTGACACGGGCCTATGCACTGATCCCCTCAATGTATCACATTTTAAATATAATAATATTTCTCTGTATAATTGAATTGTGTATAAGATTGGACCGTTAAATTTCGACTGGATTTTTTCAAAAATTATATTCTTTCAAATTTTAAAATTCAGTTTAATTTTCTTATAAATTCCATTTGTAATTTATTTTCAAAACAGAGTTATGCTACTAAAATATCCCCCAACGACGAGCAGTCACGATATGTCAAGGTTCATTAATGACAAAACAACTAGCACCAGATCAAGTGATGCCCCCAGTCTAAATTATTTATTTATTAAAAAAAAAACAAAGTTATGTGACATTATATTTCATTGTTAAAAAAAAATTGGTCCCGTCATTTATATATTTTCTAGAAAAGAAATCATATATTTCTATTTATTTCGCATTAAAACTTCCGATCTATACGAAAAAACCCTTCAACATCTCGTTTAGTTTTCTTCCGTGAATTTTCATCCACTAAATAGGTTCGTTTCTTGTTGCATATTGTAATCGTACACTATTTGTTAGATTATGTTCTGTCCGAACAGATAAATGTTAGTAAATCTATGTATTAATTACGAATGATATAAAATAACTATATTTTACGTACAAACATATTTCTGTACCCTTGTAGTCATACAAACATATTTATATCTGTGAGAGGTGGACGTTTTGGTATTTGATACATGTTCAGTTTGAGAATCGTTTAGTTCGATTCTTTCGGTTTTACAAAAATATATATCAATTGATTATTATTTTATATTCGGTTTGCTTCGATTTCGGTTCGGTTTAAATTTTGATTTTTGTGAAGAAAATTTTAGATTTTTCTAAAAACATTTCGGTTCGATTCTGAAAAATTTAATTTCTAAAAAATCATCGTTCGAAAATTTTGGATGATTCGGTTCGAAAATGGTATCACATTTTTTGTTTCGACACGATTCGATTCCGAATAACAATACCGATACGTCCATCCCTAATATAATTTATAGTGCGACGAGAATGATCTCTCTCTTTATTGTGTGTTGTAACTTTAGTCATAAACTTTTCCTACAATTGTTATTTTGTAGGAAATTTCAAAAATATTATATATTTATTGATGAATTCGTAAGCATCTTTGCATCGATTCCGGCAACATCTGCCTGTCTAAAGTAAGATTGACTTACAACTAATTAATTCGCTAACTAATTAGTATATATATATATTCTCAAATAAATCAAATATTTATGAAAAATATCAAACCAAATACTAATTTCGGAATATTTTAATACCTGCTGTCTATTTGAGAAAAGTGACGATCATTTTCGGACCGCCTTAATCAGTATCCGTCAATGAAGATTTTGGATTAAGAATGATTAGATTTTTATAAAAAAATTATAATTAATAAGATATTAGCTTTTAGTTATTATAAATGTTCCGTTTGATATCTATATAGTAGTTAAAGAGAAATATATTGCAAAATGTTTAATATTTTTATTTTAAACATTATTGGGCATCCATGAATTGGCTCGCAGATTATTGCTATTTTTTAGAGGACAATGTGCTGGTCCATGCAAATCTACATCCAAAATCATAACCCTAATATATACCTCCATAAGCTCAGATGGACAACTTCCCTGCATCCATAAGATTTCCCAAAAAACCTTTACTTGTAAGTATTCGATGAGATCAAATCAAAGATCGTTATAAAAAAAAACAGAACAAGAATCCACACATTTTGGAGCATGACAAATTAACACATGAGAAGATAAGACAAAGTTTTCCTTATATGGATTTGAATAGGAAGCGTCATTTTCTGTCGCAATGAATCCATATATGGCAAGTTGCAACTATATCTATGACACAAATATTAATTACAAGCTCTGACTCTCTCTCTTAGTTGGACTCTAAATTTGCAACGAAGTATGTGTGTGTGTATATAGTTCAGTATTAAAAATAAGAGTTAATTAATACACACATTGCCAACTGAGAGATACCTATTGACAGATCGTTGGAGTTAAATGCTAAAGCAGAGTGTTTGCATACCTAAATAATGATTTCATACATTATATATATATATATATATATATATAATCATTATAGAGATATGTACATGTATACATAGAAATAGATACTTATATATAAGCATCAAATTAATACTAATATATGATGAATGGAAACAAACAGTTGAATGCATGCATGCCGTTTTACTGTTCCCTCCACGTTATTTTCACACACACACACACACACGTGTATATATATATATATATATATTTGTATTTATGCATATATAGAGTTATAAGCTAGGGTTTAGTTAACTATTTCTGCGGCAGTTTTTGGCCGACGAGAGGAATATAATCACTAATAATGGAGATTATAATTTGATATGAGTTAAATTATAATATTTTTCAAAACTTTTTTTTTATTGCGATTAATATATGTGGTCACCTTATTTTGGTGTGGAGACCATCGGGGTGGCTTCATGGTCCAACTCTTGCTGCTGATAACGACATAAATCCATACACTTGCGAGTGTTTGTATTTTTTTTTCCTAAAATTAATGTGGTTTTTGATTCATTATCCTTGAACCTTTTCATGAGTACGTCGTAGAAATTACGAAATAATATCTTGTATTTTATTTTTATATAACGTGGGAATCCGCAACCATTATCTTTTAAATGTCTATTGGGTAAACTCATTTTCATGTTAACATATACGAGAGATGTAAAGTAGTTTAAATTGTCCATATATATGTTTTTTCAATTCAACGAATCAAAAAATAACTTAAACTTGGGTGGTCTAGTGGTGAGATAACATGCAAAGTACGCTCTCACTTTGGGTTCAAATCTAAGCATAGAAAAGAGCATTTACCTGGACTTCTTCGGTCCTCTGGAAAATGTAGTCGGGTCAAAGACCCGTGAACTTCCGGATTATCAAAAAAAAAAAAAACGAACCAAAAAATATATATCTTTAAAAGACCTTTTAACTTCCAAGTGATCGAGGCCCGTTGTGGGTGGAGAAATAAATATGTTAGGCGAAACCAAATATTTACGCTATAACCATAATATCTCATTACCTTTATACAAATGTTATTTCATATGATGACACGCAGGCATGTTATTTCAATTTTCTTCGGAGAGAGTTTATAAATAGGGTAAAACCCCTAAAAAAACTCTAACTTGCAAAAATATATACAAATAAACCTTCAACTTGAAAAATTGTCATTCAATCCCCGAACTTGTAACTTTGTCACTGAATAAAACCTCGAAATTGCAAATTATTACTCTAATAAATCTTTGACCGGTTTGACCACAATTTCAAACGATCGGAAATCCACGTATTGACGGATTGCTGATGTCAATTTTTAAATTAAAATTGATAACGTGTATAAGGTGACATCAACAATCCGTTAATACGTGGATTTCCGATCGTCTGAA